CGTGCACTGAATAAACAAGGACTTAATGGCCAGACTCCAAGATGCACTCCACTCTTGACCAAAAGGAACATCAAAAGTCAACTAGATTATGCCAGGAGCGCTTAATGACAGTAAAGTAACTGCTGCAGAATGAAGCTGTTGTTAGCTAGTTAGCTTAGCTGTACTGCCCAGGACCGGGTGCTCAGAGCACTGGGGGCTTGTTGGTGTATACTAGCAGCACCTACGGTTTGGACCACAGGCTTTCAGGCCAGGGATGGGGGGAGGAATGCTGAAGGAGAGCGGCGCTGGTTGTGCTAGAACCAGAGCTGAAAAAGCGTCATCGTCACAGAATTGGAGCTGGGCAGAGCAATGAAACCAGCTTCTATGGATAACGCTAAAGGAAGAGGCAAAGAGACGCAGGGGACGACAGAGGAAGCTAAAAAGAAAAAAGGAGAGCGAAGCGAAGAGTAAAATGTGGGACTTCCTTTTGGTCATTGGTGAGAACTTGGTGAAATAAATGGCGGCAGACAGACAGTGAGTTGGCATTCTTGCTGTTGTACCAGTTGGACTAGTAAGTAATATTAGCTGGTTTGCTGCTTTTGTTATAGTGTTTGGTTGTGTTAGAAAAAGTTGTCAACTCGCTAGTTTTTGATCATAAGTAACATGATCATAACAAATGCATGTGTACAGCTGTCCATATTTACAACAGTGGTATTACAACTGGAGGTGCCAAATTGCACAAATCTTATAGTAATAGTTTTGCTTTAAATAGATTCCATCCATCCTCACCTTCAGCCAGTCTGCTCAGACTCTCCAACATGCGAATGGTGGTGCGGGCAGCATTGCGGCCATCACTCTGTCTCTGCAGCTGGTAGTAACGTGTCAAGATGCTGTTTGCCTCCTCGGACACCTGCGGTTGCAAGTGTTTAATCGTACTGAAATAAGCCTTCATTTTCTCCATGGACCATAGGCTGGAAGACTCAGCAGACAGTCCTGAAAGCAAAACAACAGCATTAACATTTGATGTGTAGTTTGGGCCAAAATGTATACTGCGATAGAACTGCAAAGTATTTAAATCGGTATCTTAACAAAAAATATTAATAATTAATCCATATCATACTGAGTCTATGTATTCAAGCTATTTTCAGTGTATCCCTTTTACCTTGATGATGTTGTATACAATTTTCACTAAACGATTGACGCATAATGATAACATCCTGGATAAATCTCAGAATACCAATCATTCAAATATCATTCACAATAATTTTTTTTAATTGATTGCTTTGCATTTAGCATTTCATTTCCAAATTTAAAAACACATGCTCTACCTCTGTCCTCCAGAATAAAAGAGGAGATGATACGGTCCCATTCTGCATTTCTGGTGTCCAGTAGAACTAGAACAAGGTCAAAACGACTCAGCAAAGGGCTAGCCAGAGCTACATTCACAGACAATGGCTCGTTGGGATCATACTGTCCTTTAGGATTAGTGGCTGCTAAGATGGTGGTCCGAGTGTTCAGCTTACACACCATACTGTAGAGAGGAGAAAGAATATTGAGTAGGAGAATAAAAAGAAAAGTACATTTTTGTGTTATTGTCCATTTTAACCTTACTTGTCAACAAGACAAGGTCTATTTTAAATACAGTCGGACAATATTACCAACTTATTTCTAAAATAGTGTTGTAGGAGACTGGATGAAGAATCAAATCACTGAGCATACAAAATAAAAAAAAAGTCATTAAAACAAAAGCCTAGAAGACAAAAAGTTAAGATTTCTCTATTTTATTTGAAAAAAATAGAATATATTATCCTATTTCTAGTAGGTTATTTCACTATTTTATTAGGGACCGAGCCAGCGACCGTGTGAAGGCTCTATTGTTGCAAGGAATTATTATTTTTCTGCCTCATCGACTGCATATTCGGGTATGCAATTTGGCGGTGCCCGTTGCACACGTGTGTTTGAACAAACTCCTCCTAGGGAATTTATCGGACCGACTTCAGATTTGGACACAGCCATCTAAAGACATTCACCATTAAAAGTTGTGCTATTTACGTTATTCCGTTCGAACAGCGTGGACGTGGCGTTGC